GCTGTGACGCAGACTGAAGTTTTTCTTTTGAGTAAGTGACAGGTTCAGGGAGGCGGAACAGAGCAAGTACTTAGAATTCGCAGTGCAGAATTCTCTGAAATCAGACTCCCAGCATGCCCTTTCTTGGGCCAGGAATTAAACGGGCTGCCCTGGGCTTGTCTCTGAAGGGTCTCCCGTGAGAAGAATTTTCCTACAATCTAATTCCACCCTCTGTCCCAGGGCTAAGAAGAGATTTGCCGGGGAAATCTTCTCCCTCCGCCAAAGCCCTCTGCTGGCTCACCCCACTCCAGGGCGAGAGTGTGGGATGCAGGGACTGGGGCCGGAGCAAGCGTGTTCTGTTTAGCAACGATCGGAATGTTGTGGGTTATGTAACAGGAATATTAATTCTCTCATAGATAACGCAGGGCTGTGAGGGGCTGTGGGTGTGCTGTCTGGTCCACTGCCCTCCTCCCCACCTCTCATTTAGAGCCGAACCAGATGACAACTGGGCAAGGACATGGTGCCCTTGGGGTCGCACATGGAGGGGGTGGGTTGGCTGGGCCGGATGCCGGATGCCGTGCGTGGGAGACTCGCTGTGGTGCGCCCAGCGGCTTCCCTGTTCAGCGCGTCTAGAGGTGCAGGGGGACTAACCAGGTGTGGGGAAGCGTCGGAGCGACTTGCCTCCCACACTGATCGTCTGGGGCTGGTGTGGGCCAAGGATGGGAGGGGCTGGCTCCTGGGTGGGCAGAGGTAGGGGGCTCTCCCCCAGCCAGATGCAGTTTAAAGGAGCAGCGGGAGGTGAGGGCGGCCCTCTGATTGGGGCGACTGGGCGGAGCTGAAGTCAGGTTGCAGGTGAGGTCCTGAGGCCTGGCACTGCAGGAGGCGACTGGGCAGAGACTGTCATCTGGCCAGCGGATGGATGGCTCCCCGCTTTCTCTGCAGTGATGAGTCACCACAGGGCCCCGGCCACCTAGCAGGGAGCTGCCTTTCCCAGACCTTCTCGGGGTGGGGAGGCCACGTGACTGAGCCTGGTCAGGGGAACGTGAGTGGAAGGGATGCGTCCGGGGCGCTGAGAGCAGCAGGGATGCATCCTCTGCACGGTTCTCCCTCATCCCTCATGGAACCTGAACGTGGCGGTGGCTTCGACCTCGCCGACGGCGACAAGACTGGAGATGGAGCCTGAATGACCGGGTGGAGCAGAGCCACCCTCTGGCCTTGCACGCTTACCTCGGACTCTCCCACGGAAAAAAAAGTCAAGCGCTCCTTTTGCTATGAGCTGCAGGGCGCCTCCCGCCCTGTGAATGACACCTGCCTGCTTCCTGAAGCACGTCCCCCCTGCTGCCTCTCCTGCCAGAGCAGCCCCCAAGCTGGCCCAGTTACAAAAGCTCTGGGGAGGAAACATGCTTTGCAGTCAGATGCGGATTCAAACCCAGATCTGCCACTCGGCTGTGCAACCCTGGGCAAGTGGCTTTACCCCTCTGAGCCTCCGTTTCCCACTATGCAAAAAGGGATTCATCATCCTTCTACATAGCTTTGCCATGAGGAGCCAATGAGAGGGTACAGGTAACAGGCCCGGCACAGTGCTTGGTGCACAGTAGGTCTTCAACACAGGTCCGTTCCCGTTCCCTTCCCCCTTTCCCGTCCCCCATTCCCAGCAGCTTTTGCCTCTGAGTCCCCGCTGGCTGACCTCCCCTCAGCACCCCCCTCCCCCTCTCC